ATGGCCCTTGTGGCGCTGCAGCTGGGGCTCGCTCGGTGGCGCGGGCCCGAGGTGGCGCTGTACAGGGGCTACCACAGCTACGCCGTGCGCACCGCGCCGCCCGCGCCGCCGCCCTTCGAGGACGAGCCCGAGCCCGAGGCCTCCGGGCCCGACTCCGCGCCGCCGTCGCCGGCCGCCGCCCCAGTGCGGGCCCCCGAGCCCGCGCCCAACTCCCCCGCCAAGCTGGAGCCCAAGCCCATCGTCCCCAAAGCCGAGCCCAAGGCCAAGGCCCGCAAGACCGAGGCCCGAGGGCTGACCAAGGCGGGGGCCAAGAAGAAGGCTCGGAAGGAGGCGGCACAGGCAGCGGAGGCCGAGGTGGAGGTGGAGGAGGTGAGTGAAGCTTGTGGCAGAAGGAGGTGTCCCACGTCGGGTCCCCCAGGGTGGCTGGGCTCCAGGAGGGATTCCAGTGAGGATGATTTGGGGATGGGAAGGGTGAGCGCACAGAATAGGGCAGGGAAATCCCCAGCAGGGATGTGGGCTTAGTCAAGTGTAGCCTGATCCCTGGAGGCATGGGGAAGGTAACTTTCACTGCAGAGTCCCGCACCTTGGGGCAGGGGACAGGCCTTTCCCTCTGGTCCCTCTGGTCAGAGGCAGTGCTTTGGGGAAGGGGGTGCTGGGAGCCCTAGGCAGCTGGGGATGGGCAGGGAGTGAGTGCATCTGCGGGACCAGGGCTATCTGAGCTGGGCACCAGCAGCATCTGCTACAGGGTGTAGCAGGGAGGGCTTCCTGGCAGTGGAGGAAGGGCCCAGTAGGGCTTATTAGAAGGGGCTGGGAGCTGCAGACTCAGGGACCAGAATGAAGCTAGGTCTGTGGGACCCATGGATGCGGCCCAGGGGGGGATTCGCAGAAAGGAAGGCGTGTTCCTGGCTTCCAGTTCCAGTGCTGCCCACTGTTGTGCTTTGCGACCTGGACCCTGAATGGTTTGGTTAATTATTTCCCAGAATCCTTCCAGCCCTGATGGTCTGCTGTCCGGTTGCCCGACGCAGCAGTGAGCAAAATGCGGGGTGCTCAGAGGAGGGTTCTTCCGAAGGTTCCTGTTCCTCTGTCCGGCTTTGTAGGGACTTGGGCAGGGGGTGTTTCAGAGGCCATGGGAACTCAGGCAGCTTCTCTCCGCTGCTCCCAGGTCCCCAACACCGTCCTCATCTGCATGGTGATCCTGCTTAACATCGGCCTGGCCATCCTCTTCGTTCACCTCCTGACCTGACCCTTGTCTAACAGGTGTGTCTACCAGGGGGTGGGAGCCTGTGGAGAGCTCTCGGCACCAGGGTGATGGAGGAGGGAAGTTGCCTACTGGGCATCTGTCCTGCGGCTCATTGAGGCCCATCCCCCAACAGAGGCAGGGACCTAGAGTGTGGATTTGATAGATGGTGCCTTCCCCAATACAACACACACACACACACACACACACACACACACACACACACGCACACACACCTCGTTATCTCAACACGTGCAGAGCACCTGCTCCCTGTCAGGTGAGCACTGGGGGTTTCACTCACTCGCTTGTTCATTAATGTATCACCATTTACTGGGCCACTTCTCTGCTGGGATTTAGAGATCCAGGAGGGACACACTCCTGCCCTAAGAAACAAGGTGAAGATGAAAGTAAACCCTTAACTTACAGGCACAAGTCAGACATCCGGATGTCAGGCAAAACAGCTCTTGACTCTCTCCCCAGACTCTCACAGTCTCACGGAGCTTGCCTGGCATGGGCAGGCCCCTTTCTCTCTGCCCTCCCTTTCTCTCTTGCCCGCTTCAGTCTGTAATCCCTCCGCCCCCAGCCTCCCCATCCCCCAGTCCTCCTTTCTAGAAACCCCCCCCCCCCCCCCCCCACTGCTGTCAGTTGTTTCCCCAGGATGGAGCTGGGAGGGCTTGGTAAGGTCCTGGGAAAAGGAGGTTGGCTGGGCTGGCCTGACGGAAAGTGGCCCTCATGAGTCTCAGGGTGAAGTACTCACACCACAAATAAAATCTTTGCCTGCTGGGACCAGCCTTTACACCATAAAGCCTGTGCTTGGTGATGCTAACAGAGTTTCTGCCTCTTGCCCTGCTCCCAACCAAAGACCCCCTCCCTTGATCCTAGCTTAGTGTGGGCTGGAGGTTCCTACTCCGTCCCAGGAGAGGAGGAGAAGAAAATCCCTGTCCAGTCACCCTGCAAATAGCCGGTGACGACATTAGCCTGGTAGGTGCTGCCCTGGGGGGTGAGTGCTGAGCTCTGCAGGGGCCTCATTTTACAGGGGATCTGGGAATGATGGCTGCAGGGACTGACAGCTTGTGACCTGAAGGGTGGAAGGCAGTGAGGAGGAGGCGGGCAGGGAAGAGCGTACCAGGCAAGTTAGCACTTCCTCCCTCCCTCCCTCTCTCGCCTGACCCTCTTGCTGTCTCTCTGCAGAGGAGTTCCTGCTGAGGATGTGAGGACCCGTCTTTCTGCGCTGCCAGGCAGGGTGGCCAAGGAGGACTGGACTCTGGACCTGGAGCCCCGGGATCCAGCTCACGTGCACACCACGTACATTTTGGAGGCCTCCCGTGGCGCCTATGCTGGGTGCCGATGGTGCCCAGAGGAACAGAATGTGCTGGGGATCCTCCAGGAGCTCCGTGCCTGTGGCAGGGGAGGCCTCGAAGGAGGAGCCCTGGTCTCTTGAGCGCTCCTGTCCCTCATCCTCATCCATTCCCTCGCCTTGCTGCCGGGGTCCCCCTTCCCTGAGCTTTCGTGTGTTTCGGGAGAAAGCACTGAACCAGGACAGTAATATAACTCCCAGCCCCTCTCCTTCCACCCCTCCCCTGCTTTGTTTTAACTTGCAGCAGATCCCTGTGGTGGGCGAGCCAGAGAGCTGCCCACAGAGCAGAGGCCCTGCCTTCCGTGGTCTCCACACAGCACCCACTCCGTCCCTTGCTTACAGATGTTCTGGATGACAACAGAGGAAACAGACACGCTCGGTTCGAGAACCCCGGGATACGGTGCTCCTGTCTCCTCCCACCGGTCCAGCTAGCTTCCCTGCTGGACCCGTAGAGGATGGGGAGACGCAAGGCACTGGAGCCTTTAGCCGGGAGGCCGCTGACCAGGTGGCCCCGGGGTGGGGGTGGGAAGCAGGCATAGGGGCAGTTAGGATGGCCCCTGTTCTCTGGCGTGCCTGAGCCTGAGGCTGGCATTGCGTTCAGGCTTCCAGTGTGCTCAGAGTGCTAAGGCTCACCCTCCAGGAGCCCCGGGGCTGCCACGATAAATCTAGCGGGGCACCCTGTGAATTGGTGTGCCACTTCCTTCACCAGGGCCCATTGCCAGCTCAGGGGAGAGTGGGCATGGAAGCCCTTGGAAGCCCAGGCAGATTTCCCGGGGCAGACTCTGGGGCAGGTGCCGGAGACAGGCTTTCCCGGGGAGAGGAGAGCAAGTCTGGGGGCCCCGGTGGGTGCGGTCTGTTCGATACTAAGCCCCTTGGCTTGCTTGGCAGAAGACGGTATTTGCATGTAGCTCATTACAGATGTTCTGAGCCACCCCAGGCCTCCGCTCCCTTGTGCTTGGGGGGCCGGGTGCAAGCCGAGGGCTCGCGGGGCCCCTGCACCTGGGAGGACAGAGGGAAAGGCTTCTAGGCCCCTCCAAACCCAGGGAGGATTGTGGCAGTGGCGTCCAAGCAGAAGTGCCTCGGCCGCTCCACAGCCTTTGTATCTGTGGACTTGGGGCTTCGGTGCCGTGGTCGAACCTCGAGTTTGCTTCTGATGAGAGGTCGGCTGTGCCTCTCCCCCTCAGTACTTGGGAAGCTTCCTCCAGCCCCACACTGGCTGTTTTGAGGGCTCCTGACGTTGCACGGGGTGGTTGGAATCTGGGACTGCATTTCTCTGGAGGGGAGCCCGCAGATTCCCCCGTCCTCAGCCGGCCCGAGGCTCTGCATCTGTGTGTGGGCTTTTCTGGACTGCAAAGAAATGACGGCTGGGCTGGGGGTGCTGCTAGGGCCAGTGGGCCCCGGGCCTCAGCTCTGAGACCACGGCCCGAGTTTTGGTCTGGCCCAGGGCTGGGGGCAAGCCTGCAGGCACCAGAGCTCCCAGGCCTACTTTTAGAGCTGGTGTTTGGGGTGACGGTTCAGGATGCTGCGGTCTGTGGAATAATAAACCTGCATCTGCTCGTGGGCTGCGGTGGGGCTGTGGTGTCTGCTTGTGGGCCCTGGTTGAGGGACTGGCCAAGGGGGGCAAAGAGGCTGGGGGTCCTGTCTCTCTCTCTCACACACACAGTTTCTCTAAAACCTCTTGAGGGGCAGCCAAAGGGCTTCAGTTCTGGTGGGGCAGATCAAAGACCTTCTAGGACAAACCCTGAATTTCTAAAGCAGACTTCCAGAACCTTCCCTGAGTAGCGTATGGTAGAAGAAAGAGCCCGAACTCTGAGGTTAGGTCTTCCTGGCCTGCAGTCCTGCTCAGCCCCTTGTCTTCTGTGACCCACAGTTTCCTCATCTATAAAGCAGGGGAAATAATAGCTATGTCCAACTGCAGTGAGGATTCCGCAAAATGTCGACGCTTATGTAGTAAAGCCCAGCCGAGAGAGAAGTGGAGAGATGGAGACATGGGTCATCATGGCTGCACACCACAGTACTGCCCAAGCCCTCTCAAAAGCCCTCTTGCATTTTGATGGAGGACCCCAGGAGTCCCAAAGGGGTGGGGATGTGTGGGGGTGTGTGTGTGTGTAGGACGTGGGAACGAGGGGTAGGGGCAGAGGGATGACTGCATTAGAATTGCCTTGGATGGTTTGAAAAGAAGGCTCATCGGGGGCGGGGGTGGGGGTGGGAAAGGGGTAAAAAAGAAGATAAAGAAGGCTCCTTCCTGAGCCCCCATTGGAGTCTCCCAGTCAGGGAAGGTTGGTCAGAGTCGGGCGCCCCCTGGTGGCTCAGGTGCCGCACACAGACCGTCCCAGTCCTGGCCAGCCGCAGCTCCGGGAAGCGCCTCCGGTCGTCTGCCACGTCCAGCGTTCATTTAAGGTGTCTTGTGCCAAAAGGGAACTTGAAACCACCCTGTGGGCGTTGCCAGGGCCTATGATCCACTGACCACTACCTTAGGGTCTTGGCAGGAATCTTCCAGGGCGGTAGGAAAGGATGCTCAGGGAGCAAGCAGAGGCCTCTCTGGGTATCTGGGCAGAAGGAACTTGAGTTTGCTGGAAAACAAGCCCAGGGAGGAGGCGTGAGTGGGGCTGGTGTGGGGGTGGCTGGGCCAGAGGGAAATGCAGCCCAAGCCCAGGCCTGGCCTCGGGTCCTCCACCTCCTGGGGATGGCTCGACAGCTGGAGGGCAGGCCTCCCATTCTAGGAAGGCCTCCCTTAGCGGGCCCTTCATCCCCTTCTGGTCTCTAGGAAGGAAGGAAGTCGCCTGTGGGGGCAGAAAAGCAAGTGGGGTGAAAGGTGTGTGTGTGGAGTGGGGGTCTTTCTAGAGATCATGACATCACAACACGTCCCTCACCCCAGTCTCCCCCGGGTCCCTCTTGTCTGGGAGGAAAGTGGCTGGTGCACCGTCATCCTCATCTGGGAATTTGCAAGTTACAGGGGAATTGTCACTGTAAAAAAGTCTGGACGAAGCAATGCGTTATCAAAAGTTATCAAAAGAATACTTGGCTCCAGTGAGATTTCAGGTATCCACAGGGGGCGTCTCTTTTTGGTCAGGGACTCAGAGTCACCCGTCAGCTCGACCCAATAAGAAAAGTAAATAACAAAGGGGCATCCACCTTCTCCTTCCCACAAGATGGAAGGATGTTGGCAGTGTGGGGCCGGGGGTGTTCTGAGCACTAGGCTCACGCTGCCATCGTGCTGGCATCGCGGCAGGATCATGCTAGGTTCGTGGCCAGCACTTACTAGGGGATATTCATATCCCTTGCATGGCGGACGGTATTAAGTTGTTAGGGCCGCTCCATGGGATTCTAGTTGCTGGAGGTAGAGACACGGAGGGTGAGAGTGCAGGTGAATGCCCGTCACCTACTTGCACACAGCAGAACTGGACGCAAACCCGTTTTGTCTCACCCTAAAGCTTAACTTGGCCCCTAACCATTTTCTTCGGCCTGTACCACTGCACTGAAGTTATCGATGTTGACCACCTGGGGGCGCCACGGCCCCACACATGAGTGGTCTCACAGATGCGCTCTTGAGAAGGCCGGCTGCTTTTACACAAAATTCATCACCATTGCTATCCTCCGACTTAACCACAGTAATAACAGCTACTATAAATTAAGCACTTACTATGTGCCAGGCCCTGCACTAAGCACTTTACATACATTAATTCATATTTTCCTCACACCAGCTCTGTGATTAGAAACACCACTGTGCTTTGCAACTACGAGGCTAAGGTTCAAAACCAGGTCTGTCTTCAAGGCCCATCTCTTCACCGTCTCCTCTCCTCGTAGGAGGCGCGAACTGCCCGGAGGCTGCACTGGGCTGGCAAGCTCGTTGTGCTTTGGCCGGCGAGGTGTCCTCAGACACCCTGAGTTTGAATGCTTTTTGGCAGGGCACCTTCCATTCGGCCGCGCCCTGGCCTGCTATCCTGTCTCAGTCCTTTGTTTATGTTACCTGCCCGACTCTGAGGTCATTTGCATTTGCACCTCCGTTGGTGCTCATAACATTTCATGGACTGGAATCAGATCTGGTTTGGGGAGGCACCCGGGAGAGATGACAAGAGGTTGTGGCCCAGTGTCATGCCAGGGATGTGGGAGGCAGTCTCGTCCTTCAGCGCTCTCCCCTGACAGGCGAGGAAGCGTTCTCTGAGTCATTCCAGCACGCGAGGCACCATCAGATGCGTGGGTCTCCTGGGACGGGCGATGGCGAGCTGGAGGCAGACGAGGCACATTTGGACTTCGCAGCCTTCTCCCAGTGGAGTGATCTGGCTGTTTTATGCGCCCGGACGGAATCCTTCCCAGTTTGTGTCCTTACAGTTCCCTTTCGCCTGGCCCTTGAACCGGTGAGTGGACTTAACCCTCACTGTGGGATTTCTAATCAGTACCAACCACTCTGTCTGTTCTGGCTGACCTGTGTCTCCCCTGTAACTCCTATGTCGAGGCCCTCAACCCCAGTACCTAACAAGGTCACCATCTTTAGAGAGGAGGCCTTTAAAGAGGCGATTAAGGCAAAATGAGGCCATTAGGGTGGGCCCTCATCCAATTGGACTGGTGTCCCTATAAGAAGAGGAAATCTGGTCACACGGGGGGGATGCTAAGGGCTCTTGTGCGCAGAGAAAAGACCAGGTGAGGACACGAGATAAGGCAGCCATCTGCGAGCCAAAGAGAGGAGCTTCGGAAGAAACCAAGCCTGCCGACACTTTGATCTTGGACTTCCAGGCTCCACTGTGAGAAAATAAATGTCTGTTGTGTAAGCCACCCAGTCTGTGGTGTTTCATTATGGCGCCCCTATCAAACTGGTCCTCTGTCTTCATGGAAGGTGGGGCTAAGCCCGGGGCTTAGACAAGGGCTGGCTGAGCTGGGGATGTGAGTCTGGCCAAGAGCCAGCCTGAGAGAGGAAGATGAGGGAGCATGACCCCGTCCTCCCAGCCCCCACCCCCACGAGACACTTCCGGGGCACAATTACCTGAAGTGCTTTGTCCCCCACGTCCTCCTCCCATTAGTGATGGGCGCTACCGTTTCTTCATGGACAAGAGCGCCAGGAAGCTGAGTTCCTGCCTTCTGATTACAAAAAATACGGTCTGTAAGACCGAAGTTGGAGGCAAGATGCCGTATCTAGCTCACTGCAGGTTGGAAGGGCCCACTCGGGGCCGGCACAGCAAAGACCCTCAAAGTGTGCACCATTGTGCCGTCTCGAGATGTAGAGACAGAAAATCTGAAAGCTACCAGGGAAGGGGGAACATGAAGTGACAAAGAGCGGAGAAGCGGATGACAGCAGTCTCCCCAGCAGCAAAGCTGGAGACCAGGAGGCCATGAAGCAGTGCCTTGGGTCGCAGAGAAAGTTAGACACCTTCACCCAGTCAACCCAGGGGCCGGGGGCGCAGGGAGAATGAAAATGATGGCGGAACTGCACCTTTATTCTCCATTTGCCCTTTCTGAGAAAGCCGGGGGCAGATAGGCCCCGCCACCACGGAGAAGCGACGCCAGAGAGAGGGCTCAATGGAACCCAGAAAGGAGAGGACCCTCTGGTGGGCGAGAGCAGAGGGGTTTGCGAATCACAAGCACAGAAAGGAAGCTTCAGGGCGAGGCCACCTCCAGAAAGAGGACGGACTGGCACCAGCATCCGAGCACAGGCAGAGTGAGTCACAGGGCCGTGAGGTCCCAGAGGCTCGTGTGGCAGAGACTGGGAAAGTGACCACTCAAGAAACGAGAAGCAAAAGCAGAAAATTATTCAAGGAAAAAATAAGATTCAGGTTCACGGCTTGGTCCAGCAGTGAGCGTTAGCTTACGTGACGGCACCTCGGAAGCAGGGGACGCTGACCCACAGTTAATACTGCAGGACACGGGAAGGGGGATGTGGCACACAGCGGGCAGCCGAGCCGCAGTCTGCAGGGGTGCCCTCCGCCCCACCTCCCTCCTCACCACCGCGCGCCACTTCTGAGTGACTGCCCTTCTGCCTCTGGTGGCTTTGGGGTTATTCATTTAGGGAGGTTTAGGGAGCAGAGCTGTGTAATAACGGAGGTGCTGGGCAGTTTTTTTAAAGCCCCCGAACCTATAACTGTGTGCCAGATTCGTTGCATGTGAACTCTTCCAAATTTTCAAGAACATTTCATTCCCACATTAACTTATGCATGGATACGTATGTGCCGTGCGTGAGGATGTGCAGTTGTGTGGTTTGTGCGTGTGATTTTGGCTCAGGTCGTGATCCCAGTGTTGTGGAGTAGAGCCCCATGACGAGCTCCATGCTAAGCATGGAGGCTGCTTGGGATTCTCTCTCTCTCCCCCTCTGCTCTTCACCCCCTCAGGGTCTCTGCCCCCTTTAAAAAAATATATATATATACATATATGCACTTGTGTGTCCACCGGGTGAGTGAAAGGAAGATATTTGTATGCATGTGCACGGTGGGTTTGTGTGTATGAACGTAGTGTGCATATGTGTGATGTACGCGTGCACATGCTCATGTGTGTGGTGTCGTTGCATGATATGCACGCACACGTAGCATACATGTGTGCATGGGCATCGTGTGCGTGTGGTATGTGATGTGTCTGGTGTGCACGTCCACGTGCTATGCATTATGTACCGTGAATGCGTGTGATGTGTGTGCACGTGCACATGCGTGCTCGTAGGGTGCAGGCGTGTGTAATGTGCCCCCGTGTGAGTTTGATGTGTGTGCATGCATTTGTGTTTTGGGCACAGTGCACACGTGTGTCCTCTCCTACATGCACACCAACTACACATACACACACCGCATGCACGTCGCATCTTGTACTCACAAGCACACCGCACAGACGTGCACCCCGCAGACCTACAGGTGCGCAGCACAAGCCTGCAGATACAGACACACCACACGTGCACACCTCGCCACCCTACACACAACCCACACACAGGGGCACGTTACCCACGCTCACACCACCTCTGCACGCACGGCACCCTCAGCCACCCCCACCGTACAGGGAGCCTGGTTGGCCCAGACCCCGGCAGGTGAGAACATGCGCTGCGCCTGAGGTTCACCTTCAACCTGAGGATAGCCGCCCCTGTTCCTGCCTCTGAGATCCCCACGCAGCTCTGTGGACTCAGCCTCAGCTTCTTCCAGAGAGAATTCTTTGGGATTCACCATCACAGAGGATCACAATCACAGAGCCACGGCCTCTGGGGGTCCTGAATCAGGAAAGCACGGCACTCTAGAACCACATGTCAGTGCTCTGGCTCAGTCCCGGTCACTGGATGGGGCGCAGCCCAGATATCGCCTCCCCCAGGAAGACGCTGCGGACCCTGGCTAGCCTGGGGGCCCCTCTTCTGCCTTCTCCCGGCCCCTTTTCGTACTCGTCACATCGTATTGTGAATTTTACATTTTTATGGTTTATAATATACACTTACACTTTTATAGCTGACTATTACCATTTTCCTTCTCTGCTACCACAGCTAGGGAGCTCCTGGGGTGGAATCTGTGTGCGGTTCCCCAGGCATCCCCGGTGCTCAGCTGGGGCAGAAAGTAACCGCTCACCTGTTTTTAGTCTTGCTGAATGAACACATTGAATTTCAGCACAGTGGACTCTTTTTTTTTTTTTTAACTGTTTATTTTTGAGAGAGAGACAGAGTGCCAGCAGGGGAGGGGCAGAGAGAGAGAGAGAGAGAGAGGGAGACACACACAGAATCTGAAGCGGGCTCCAGGCTCTGAGCTGTCAGCACCGAGCCTGACGCGGGGCTTGAACCCACGAACCGTGAGATCTTGACCTGAGCTGAAGTTGGATGCTTAACCAACTGAGCCATCCAGGTGACTTGTCTTTTTTTTTTTTTTTTTTAAGATATAACTGGACTGTTGACCACGATTAGTTCTTTTTTTTTTTTTATCAAAGTTCATTTATTTGAGAGAGAGAGAGGGAGCGTAAGAGCACATGGGAGGGGCCGAGAGAGAGGGAGAGAGAGAGAATCCCAAGCAAAGCTCCACACTGTCGGCATAGAGCCTGTCACGGGGGGCTCGAACTCATAAACTGCGAGATCATGACCTGAGTTGAAATCAACAGTCAGTCGCTTAGCCGACTGAGCCACCCAGGTGCCCACATTGTGGACTCTTTAATTAAAGAGTAATTGGAAGGCCCCTCCATGCCGTGTTGTCCATCTTCCAATCTAATGTGGAATCCCAGGGAGGGATTAGTGCTGGACACTCTTGGGACCAGCCACCACTTCCTCTGGGGTCTGGAGGCTTGGCCTTTGCCCAAGCTGTGCCTCTGCTGGGATTCCAGTCTGTCTGCGGGAGGAGGTGGAAAAATCTGAAGCAGGTGCATGACACCTGGAAGGGTCGGCTCCATGGATAGGGCAGATGGGCTGCAGGGGCTGAAGGTCCTTACAATGTCAGGGGCACCGCTCTAAGGTCCAGACTCAGACTGGCGTTGGCAGATTGGGGGTGCCACCGGACAACCCCTGACATCTGCAGGCAGGGTATTTAGACTCCGCTTGGGCATCTTGGAGAGCCCGTTGCAATGGAGAGGTCAGCCTTGGCACGTGGACACCTCCAAAGGCCAGGGCAGCAATGGGGGGCCGGCAAGAACCTGAGAGCTTTACACTCATTATTTTGGGTTGTCTGTGTGGATCCCAATGACACTGTTTTCTCAAATGTAGAAGCAAGAGTCGAATATTAAACTAAGTCATCACCGTGTTACTGACAAGCTCCACACAGGAAAGGAAATTGTAACCACATGAAATATTTATGCTTCGCATCGCAATGATGCTCCTGACATGACAGCATGTTGTTTTTGTTGTTGGTTTGGTTCTCTTTTTTCTTTTTCCAAAGTGGATTACAAAATGCCCTCCAGTGAGGAAACTGCTCACAGAGAGATTGCGCCCCAGCCCCGGGGCTGTTATCTGGGAGAAGGGAGGTGACGGTGATGGGTGGTGGCAGAGGGAGAGGCCCTGAGAGCCGACGGGGTGGGGATGGGGATGGGAGGGCTCCTCCATACCAAGAAACTGATTTTTCCAGATACAGTTAAAATAGTCACATAATTATTACTTTTTTTTTTTTTTTTTTTTTTGGTATCACCACTGTACATCTGTTGGGAAATCTGGGTTAGACGCCCTTGTCTGGGCTGCCCCTTACGTTCAGGTTGGGAGCATCCTCAGAGCTCCCCGAACCCAGCTCTCGCCTCCCCCAGGCAGATGCGCCCTGCGCGGCCAGCCCCCCGCCCCTGTTGACCGCCATCGTCACCAGCAGGCGTGTGTGGGTGCCACTGCTGTCCTACTTCTGCAGACGCGACACGGAGGCGCAGTCGTCCACACAGACCCTCCCCTCCGGGTGAGTAAACGGCAGGTGACGCTGGGCCCAGATCCCGCTGACGTCGAGGGCAGAGCTGCTGCCACAAGGCACCTCGGAAGGCCTGGGTCTGGCTTGCCAAGCGCATGAAGGAACAGACCGAGTTTCAACTTTTCGGAAGTTTTATTAGAAAGGAACAGAGAGAAGCACTGGGCGCCGGGACGGACACCCGCCAGGGCCAGGGAACAGCTGCAAACAACACTAAGAACCAAAACCCAAACCGAACCCGAAAACCACACACACTTGATGATAGACTGCATTTCTGTTCTCAACTTTTCTCCATAAATAGACAAAGGTCGGTGTTGGCAATTTTAAATAGACGGACGTAGGGTTAAGAAAAAAAGCGCAAGGTCTCCGAGTGTGGCTACAAGTCGTCCGGCACGTGCTGTACAGGCGGGGAGCCGGTTTGGCCGCTGCTTGGTGCACCTCTCCCATAAGAGAAGACTTAAACAAAAATGTGCTAAGGGTCATAGAAAATGGTTGTCACCTTAAAAGGAAACTACTCCCCTCCCCCACAAAATAATCTCACAGCTGTCTTCACGGTTCTAAAACACTTAGTCAACTACTTACGTGGAGCCAATAGTCTAGACGTTTCATAATCTTTGTTCACACTGTAAAACCGCATGTGCACGTCTGTGGCCGGGCGGCCCCGGGCCCGTGCATCTGGGGGTGGGTTTCTGTCAGAAGGCGACCCCTCCGGGGGCAGCCCACGCGAGCCTGGGCTGGGGCCAGACGTCCAGACGCAGAGTACGGCGTGCAGGGCGAGGAGCGGGGTCCACGGTAACCCTGGAGCAAGCAGGTCGGGGGCAGAAGGTTCCTGCAGGTTCTTTGGGCTGGCGGCGGGGCGGCGGGCTGCCTCTGCAGAGTCTGGTGTGAGGTGGAGGAAGAGACGAGGCCCCGGGGCGTCCGTGTGTCACTGCCGTCTCTTTCCGGTCACCCCGCTTCCTGCCAAGGCTCCCCTTCTGCTGTGGGCCCTTCAGGCTCGGAGCAGTGCCCCTCCAGCAAGCCTCAGGGAGGAGAGGGGAGGCGGGATTAGGTGAGGTAGAGCGATTTATCCCTGGGGAGCAGGCTGGGGAGAGAGGAGGGGCTGTCAGAGCGGGGGGAGCCCAGCCAGGCGCCCTCCGGCTCCCAGGGACCTGGACGCACGCACGGCCTGGAGCGGAGGGTGCTAGGCTACCTGTTCGCTAGCCTTCATCCTCACCCTGGATGCGCTGCCCCTCTGGAGACCACTGGTCCCTCCCTGATGGGCCACCAGGCAGAACCAAACTCCCCTCCTAGAACCCCGGCTGGGGACCACGAGGTCCTCAGCGCTGGGGGAAGGTGGCTGCGAGCGCCTGTCCTTCAGAGAAGGTGTTCCAACCACACCCCAGCTCTCAGGTCCGTGTGGAGTCGATTTCCATTTGTAAATTCCACATGGAATCCGAGGAGGGCAGGAAGGTGCCTTCTGTGTTTTTAAAATAGGACGCTCAGGGCGCGTGGGTGTCTCAGTCAGTCAGGCATCCGACTTCGGCTCAGGTCATGATCTCACGGTTCATGGGTTCAAGCCCCACATCGGGCTCCATGCTGACAGCTCGGAGCCTGGAGCCTGCTTCGGATTCTATGTCTCCCTCCCTCTCTGCCCCTCCCCTGCTCACACTCTGTCTCTTAAAAATCAATAAACATTAAAAAAATTTTTTTTACAAATAGGATGCCCATCTGTGAGAGCGGGAGACCTTGAGGGCCTTGTGCCAAGTGACATAAGTCCGAGAAAGATGAGAAAGACCAGTATCAGATGATCTCACTTACATGTCGAGTCTAAACAAACCCCAAACCAAGCTGATAGACACAGAGAACAGACTGCTGGGTGCCAGAGACGGGGGGGATGGGTAAAATGGGTGAAGGCTCCAAAGGTATAAATAAACTTCCAGCTCGAAGATGAATACGTCTTGGGGATACCGTGTACAGCAGGGGACCTCAGTTACTAATACTGTATTTTTGTAAAGTTATACGCTTGAAAGCTGCTAAGAGAGTAGATCTGAAGGGTTCTCCGGACAAGAAAAGAATCTGTAACTCTGAGTGGCAACAGATGTTACCTAGACTCTCTGTGGTGATCATCTCCCAGGAAGCGCAAGTCTGATTCGATCACTCTGTGGTACACCTGAAACTAATACGCCAGCTCTACCTCCACTTAAAACATAAGTAAAATAGGGCACAGCTGTGGGCTGCCCTCCGTGTTGGGGGGAAGCTCGGACGCATTCCCTAATGTCCATCGTAGAGCCCCCAGCCCCACACTCTGACTCTTGGGAAGGGAGCCCGTGGAGGGACGGTCTGCACCTGCCCAGGTAGGGGGACAGGAATTCCCACTGAGCGCAGTCTGCCCACCCAGGCAGAGTCTGTGGCCGGGCACTGGCCCTCGGCAGCGGGGCACGAGCCCTGTCTGCTCGCTCCCTGGTGGGCTTGGCCGGGTGAGGAACAGAGAGGCCGACAGCCAGGCTTAGGGGCAGCTGGAGCCCGGCAACAGAGAGCACCTCCTGTCCACCAAACATGACCATCCAGACTTCCAGGGTGTGGGGCTGCTGCTGGGACCACATACCCAGGGTGTGGCCACAGGGTTAGTTCTTGCCAGGGGATGGCAGTCAGGGCTGGTGGGTAGAGGAATAAGGTGCCATCCGTACCCCATTTCCCTTTCTGAAATGAGGGGTCACTGTCTCTTGGGTCAGGAAGACCTTCTAGAGGAAGGAAAGTTAGCGTGGCATTGACAGGCTAAGAGGCTGAGAACGAAGGATGGGAGAGGAGGTCGGAGGATGCGGTCCACATGAGGACCAGGGACCAGCCAAGTCCGGGGGGGAGGTGTCAGAGGGGGTGCTGGGCTGCAGCGGGCGGTAGGGGTACCAGTAAGGTCTGCGGCTCCCCGTGTTGGCCCCTTGGCCCTTCTTGCTCGTGCCTCCCCCAGACCCCCTCTCCTGCCCTCCCCAGAGAGCTGCCCGGGGGTGGACAAGACCTGTCTTGCCTGGGGGGCCACACCCCCTGGGGCAGCCCAGAGCCAATGGCTGACAGACATGGGTACAGAAAGCCTTAACCTGAGAGCGGGACCAAGTCTGCAGGGCCATCTGTGGCCGAGCTCCGAGCTCACGGTGGATCAGGCTGAAGTGAGTCTGTGGCTGAGCTCTCTCAGCTCCCTCCGGGGCCCTGTCCTGCCCCTCTCCCTTCCCTTCTCCCACAAGCTCTCCCTCGGAAGGCACCATCGAAGGCACCCGCATCAGCTCTGCTTCCAGGGAACCTGACTGAGGACAGAGGAGCCATCGGTGAGTGTCCCATGGTGAGAGAGGCACCTGGGTGTCACGGTGAGACAACCAGGACAGAAGGAGGAAAAGGAAGACTGAAGCCGGCCCCGTCTCCCAGGCCCTGGCGTCAGACCAGCGGAGTCCTTCTGGGGCCTTGCTTCGTCCTGTGTCTTCTCGCAAGGCTGCGGGCACCCCTGGGGCACTCCCGCAGGGCGGACAGTGACCCGCAGAGCCTTGCCCCTCCCGTCCCCTGGCAGCCCCGGGGCTGTGGCGGAGGGAGGCCAGGGCGAGGACCCACCTGCACGCGCTGACGCCACTGCTGTCCCAGTCTCCGCTGCTGCTCGGGGCATCGGCCGGGCCGGGTGAGCGGGGTCCGGACCCACTGGGGAACTCGGAGATGTGAGGGAAGTCCTGCCCAGGGGAAAGGAGGCAGGTGAGCAAAGGGGAGAAAATGGGGTGCACGTCTCCAGCAGCGAGCGGGGGATGGGAACTCTATGCGCCTGAGGGTGTTCACGGAGACACTTCCTCCGGCCTCTACAAAACCTCCACGCTGCCTCTCTGCCCGGAATGCTTCTTCCTTTTCCCTAGCGGAGCACCTTCTGGAAAATTCAACCCTTCTCCTAGCTGCATCAGCGGGGGGAAGGACTCCTGCTTTCGGGGCCTTTCCTTTTCTGGCCTTGGTTTCCCAGTCTATAAAATGGAGTTACCGTGCTGAGCCACACAAGTCTCGTAAGAGCATCCGTGGGACAATCAGTGGGGTCAGACTTTGAAGGCGCTGGGGAGAGTCAGGGGCTGGGGCTGGTCTGGCAGAAGCTGCATGGCTTTCAGCCCCTCAGGCCAGAGAGCAGAAATGGACAGAGGAGAAGAGGAGGGCCTGGGACATCCTAAGGATCCAAAGCATCTGTCTGGGAACTTGTCAACTGTTCACTGTAGCCGGTATATCTCGGGGAAGGTATGCTAGAGCCAGTTCATAGATGTGACTGAGGCTCAGAGAGAGGTAAGGAGCCTAGGTTGGTGAGGGGCAGGGCCAGTATCTGAAATCCCAAGCCACCTCCCTTCCCCACGAGGGGTCCTGAAGGGCATGTTCCTACTGGGCCGTCCTTACCTGTGGCCCTGGAGGTGAGGGGCTCATAGCCAGCTGCACCTGCAGTGCCATGGGGGTGGGCAGGACAGGAGCCTGGGGGGCTGGAGACATGCTAACAGGCGGACTGAGGAGGGCACCCTGGGCATGGGGCGGCAGCGGCAGCTGCTGGTGCAGTGGAGGGCTGAGAGGGAAGGAGGGGGGCGGTGGCGGGGATGCGCTGAGGCCAGGCAGCAGTGACTTGGAGCTCAGCGTCCGGGCAAGGCTGGCGGGAGAGGCCCCACTGCGGAAGGCCTGCAGGTCCGATGGCGTCAGGAAGGAGGCCAGGCCCGGCATGGCATAAAGGGGCTGCTTGGGTGGCAGCATTTTGGCCGGCGGGTTTGCCTGAGTGCCCTTGGTCTCGCCCTGGTCTGGGGAGCTCTGCAAGGAGACAGACACCAATTATTCTGGGGAAGACGGATAAGCCAGAACTTGGGCCATGAGACCAGCGGGGTCTGCAAACCACTGCCATGGCCCCTGGCTGGCTCTCTGACTCCTTGGCAGGGAGCTATGGGCTAACTGGAGGTAATCCTGGGTCCTCAGTGCACTTGGCTCTGACCATCCAACCACCTCCTGCACTAATCCCTGGGGTTTCCCTGCCCATGAGGCCCATACTCCTCAGCCTGGCCCGTGAGGCCAGCACCATCCAGCTGGGACATCCTCTATTTATGCTCCTCTACGGCCTCTATGCCTTTGCACGTGCTGTTCCCTCAACTTGGAACACCCCCCCCTCCCCGCACTTGACGCTTTAGGGCCTAACCCACCTGCCATGTCCTCTAGGATAGCTTTCAGACAACGCCCCTACGCTCATCATGTCAGGCAAGTTGCTTAACCTCACTGAACGCTGGGTTCTCGGAAGAATTAAATGAAACGAGATACATGTAAAGTGCTCAGCATGAGCGCAGCACATAGTAGGCACACCGGAGAAGTGACCACATTGGTCTTATCCACTCTCTCCACAAACTATAGCTCTGACCGTTCCCATGGGCCTCAGTTCTTGCTCTATCCCTTGGGGGGGTGCCACCCTCATCACGGCCGGGCCCACGGTCCAGGGTGTTACCTTGGATACGAGGCTGGCCCTGTAGGCTGCCAGAGCCTTCAGATACTCCTTTTTTGCTGCCTCGGTCTTCCTCTTGTAGGCCTGAAAGATTCAAGACATGGGCAACACTGGGGAGGGCTCCGGCGATCAGCCCGAGGCCCCGCAGCTGGTAACTGGAATCTGCCTAGGGCTGGTTCTGCTCCCTATCCTCCCTGGACGCCCACGAGACGAGCCATGGGCACATGGTAGGTGGGAGAGGAAGCTCTGGTCTGGACTCCAGACTCACACAGTTGGAGCAACAAGACGGACGGAGATGCTTATTCGTGTTTTACAGATGAGGAAGCCGAAATCCAGACTGGTTAAGTCACTAGAGAACGCAGCTGGCAAACAGCAGAACTCGAATAGCTTCCCAGCTTACAGATGGGCAAACTGAGTCCATGAAAAGACCTCCGTAAGAGCGTCTTCCTGGTTTCAGACATTCCAAGTCTGTCACTGGCTCCAGGGCCTCAAAGCCTCGAGGGACGGTCCCAAAAGGGACAGAGACTCACCTGCTTCTGCTCCTCTCCCAAGCTGTCCCACATAGAGGCCACGATTTTGGACACATCTCCAAAGGTGGCACTGGGGTTCTGTCCCTTGATGGCGGCCTGAGTGTCTCTGAAGAAGAGCGCATAGGCCGACACAGGCTTCTGAGGCTCGTTGGGGTCCTTCTTCTTCTTCTTCTTTGGGTTCTTGGTCTTTTTTCCTGGGTCAGCCGAGGGTCTCTTCTCTCCGGACATCTGTGCAGGTGAGAGGAGTCAGGAAAACAGAAGCTGGGGGCCTCCTGTCAAAGGTTACCCACCCCAGCCCGAGGCAGAGGGGACCTTCCTCAGCACCCCACCACCTCCCTGTCTGACTCCACGCATGCATGGGCAGTAGTGGGCTGGCCACCACCCTGGGCTTGAACACATGGTCATGCTCCTCACTCTCTAGGTGAGGGAGGCAACAGACATATGCACAGGCTGGGTAGGAGCCAGGAACTCCAGGGTTTGTGCTTAACTCATTAATGAAAATCAGCAAGGCAGCAAAGTTGATTCAAAGAAATACAAGCAAAACTGCCCTACAGAGTAATGAAACTATCGCTTTGGGGGCTTTTAATCTTTTCTACGGGGCAGAAGTCATTTGCATCTCTACAGGGAAAAATTCATTTGCCTTGTAATCAGACGAAAATTGTTTACATCTCTACCACTTCTTTCCCAAGTTAACATCTGACTTTACAGGGTGTAAAGTCCCCTAATCGATCATGAGAAATGAATCACAACAGCGGCACATTCTCCCAGAGGACCGGTAATTATGGAGCAAGCCTGCTGGACAATGCTGTGGTACGCCACTGAAAGAGCGTGCAGCTGTTGTTCAGGGCCCGATTTCCAAGTTTTATATATATTTTTCTTAACAGCTCTCCTTTCTTGTGATCACAAATCATCCCCAAAGGTGATCCTTAACCACAGAAGATCAGTGACTGCCGCCAATTTTCAGGTGTGCAACTTGGGGCAGGGGGCATAGTCCCCGGGGGCCCTGTGACATGGCTGGATGGGAAAGGGGTTATGTGACTCGCTGGGTGTGGCCTCACTCCGGACACCTGGCCTTCAGGAGCAATCAGACTCCAGGACTGCAATCCCGTGAGTGTCAGACTCAGGGCTTGCAGGATGGGTACAGTATAGGGATGCTCACCACAGACCTCAGCAGGTCCCCAAAAGGACCCTTCAGGCCACACAGGAGGGACCAGGAACTTTGGTCAAAGGCCCTGGATCCTGCAATGAGGACTGTCAGCCTGCACCAAGCAGATGAAAGTGACGCCGGGAACTGATAGGGAAACCGTGGGCCACTAGACAAGATTCAGGCCTCCAGGTCTGCAGCAGAGCCTGTTCTGTTCCTGCCTCTATGTGCAGCTGGCCGCCCTCTGGGCCCGGTTGTGTCCACCCCAGGAGAGGCTCTAGCAGGAGGAGGGATGCGGATACACCGCTGGATGAGGAAGAGATGACAGGGCACTACAGGTGGCCAAGAGCACATCAGCTGGAGCCAGACTGTGACCACCTCAGTCTGAATCCTGTTTTGGTGACGCTGGAGAAGTTACACAATCTCTCTGGGCCTCAGTTTTCCCATTGGCCAACTGGAGACAGATGATGGCACCTACCGCCAGGACTGTGGTGAGGATTACATGGCTGCATACTTGTTATGTGCTTAGAACAGTGTCTGGCCCCAAGTGTCCATTAAATAAAAAATAAAATAAAAACGGCTCCTGTCTGGCCTACGGCAGAGACCAAATTATCCTGAGGATGAAGCTGAACCGGATCCAGATGCGCCTCCCCCTGCCCCCCCCCCACCACCCAAGCCCAGGAGGTCAGGGTCTCTGCTAGAGGGGACAGGCGCCATGGCTCCTGCTCCCAGGCGTCTGCAGGGCCACCGTGTGGAAAGGGGTGAGAGGCCCTTATGAAGAAGGAAGGGAGGCGGAAGTGGTGGGATCAAGTTTATTCTGCCACGGGCTCATTGGGAGGCTCCCAGTGACAGCTTCCATCCTGGGCCTTTCTGGGCCTCTGTTTTTGGCCCCAGTAAAATAAGATGCTTTCCAACAGCCAGGGGGATTTGTCAGTGCAAAGAAAGGACAAGCCTGGACAGCTGGTGACCTCTCCCCTCCGACCTGTTCTTAAGAGGCAGGACCACCCATGACTCCAGGGATGTTGGGGGGGGGGCGTGTCCCCAGTGACTGGGGTGGTGGTGTTCGTTTTTAGTGTCCCAGTGCAGTCCAGAGATGCCTTCTGCTGGGCCACCCATTTTTATCAGCACATTTTCTCCTAAAAGGCCAATGTGGCCCTAAGATGTGACCCTGAGGATCTTGTCAAAGATGCTCAGCAAATTTAGCAGCTGAAGCCAGGTATCCCGAGTTCCAGTCACCACCATCCCCACTGCCCAGGCGTTCCAGCCAGTGGGCCCCGTTCTACCTGCTGATTTTCCTCCTCCGTGTCTTCCAGCAAAGGGTACAGTTAGACCCTTCTAGTCTTGTCTAGAGGTAGGTGATGCCAATTTCCACGCAGGGCCCACCCACCTGCTGACAGGAGGGCATCAGTTAGGGCTCTGCATCTCCACCCTCCCTACCTTGAAATGCGCTTCTGATTCCTCCTCCTGAGTTGAACTGGAGGGAGACGGCGTCGCTGACTTGCTCCCTGGGGGTGACGGGGAGCTGTGGGCAATGCCACTCCGGATGCCCATCTGAGAGATGAGCTGGGATTGGCTGAGGGCACTCATGTGGCTGGCCAGCATCGCCGGGCGGCCCAGGAGGGGCCCAGGCCGGCCCGAGTCGTAGGCAGCAACCTCCGAGTGGACCATCTCCTGGATCTAAGAGAATAGGACAGGGCATTGTGAGCTAGGGAGGACCCGCCGGCCACCATCACCTCTGCACCGTGGGACTCAGAGCAGCGGCATGCAGAGGAGAAGGGTGGGGGGCTCCACTCCCAGCTGGGCTTCCCCAGGCTCCAGCAGTGGGGTCGGGGGGTGGCAGGGGTGAGATTCGGTGCACCCGGGGGCAGCTTACAGCCCCCTGACGGTTTGCCTTCTGTTGACATTCACCCTGGACAGATGGTTAGCAGTTCAGCCCTCGCCAGAGAGCTCAGGCCAGCAGTGAATTGATCATTTTACTGATCATTTTCTATTTACTGATACTGAGTCCTCCCTCCTAGAACACGGTGTGTCTGTTCATTTACTCGCTATGCAGTGCTACAGCAAAGAGCACAGGTGCTGGAGGCTGGCTGTGTTTTGGATCCCGGTTCAGCCACTTCTAAGCTGCGTGACCTTGGCCCAGTTACGTAACCTCTCTGTGCCTCAGTTTCTTCGTCCAAAAAAATGCAGATAATAATTAAAACTACCTTTTAGGTTTGGGTAGGACAAAATGTGCCTGGCCCCTAGTAAGCCATATATTGTGTATAAGTGTTTGTTAAACACATAGAAGAAATAAATCCCTTAATAAAGCTTTGTACTTTTCTTCCTCTAAGTCAGTAATTTTCTCATCAAATCTTCCCTATGATATTTCTAACTTGTTATTTTTGGAATATAAGAAAGCTCCTGATTTTTACATACAGGCATTTCTCCTACTAAATACATCTGTAGAACAGTGTGTTCTTTTCACCTAAATATTTTATATATACACGCACACACTGTTGAGTGAGGCATAACGATTTGCGTACTCTTATAATTATTTTTATTTCCTTGTTTTTAAAAGATTTTATGTTTAAGTAATCTCGACACCCAATGTGGGGCTCGAACCTACAACCCCGAGATCAAGAATCACATGCTCCACTGACCGAGCCAGCCAGGCGCCCCTATTTTTATTTCCATTGCATCTGTGGTTATTTTTCCTTTTGTTAATTTCTCATGTCGAGGAGCTCTTTTCCTCCGATGTTCTCTTCATTAGGCAAGTTCATGGATTTCCCATTTTATTATGTGGGAGTTTTTTTTTCTCCTCAAAAGAATCCAATTTCTTTTTTTTCGAATTAAATAAAAAAAAATTTTAATGTTTATTCCTGAGATAGAGAGACAGAGCACGAGCAGGGAAGGGGCAGAGAGAGACACACACAGAATCTGAGGCAGGCTCCAGGCTCCGAGCTGTCATCACAGGGCTCAATGTTGGTTTTTGTTGGAAAAAGAAAACTGTCTTCATTATGGATTGAATGTTTTTTATGAAATTTTTAAAAGTTTATTTATTTTGAGAGAGAGAGAGAGGCAGAGAGAGAGGCAGAGGGAGAGGGAGAGAGAATCCCAAGCGAGCTCTGCACTGTCAGCAGAGAGCCCAATGTGGGGCTTGAACTCACAAACTATGAGATTGTGACCTCAGCCGAAACCAAGAGTTGGACACTTAACTGACTGAGCCACCCAGGTGCCCCATGAATGTTATTATTATTATTATAAAGTGCCTCCTTTTGCCTTGAATTCAGTGGAATCTGATCGGAACATCGCTGTCTTGGCCTGGATGTGTGTTTCTTTGATTTTGTCTGGTATGTCCTCAGTTCTGAGGAACTTTCTTATTTAGGTTTGTCCTCATTTCCATTTTCTGGGGGGTTATCTTTGGCCAATGTTGGCGTTTGTGTTATGTGCTTTTCGAAAGACTGATTTTCATAATATTTTCCGTGGTTATTTTAGTTTCCATATTCTCTTTAGTTAATTCTGGTAAGTTACATACATATATACTTCAACTGTCTACTTTGTCCACATTTTAACATTAACAGCATATAACTGGGATAATGTTATCATATTTTTAATCTACTCTATAGTTTTTGTAGTTAAATCCTCATTCCCAATTACAATACTGTGAATGCATGTTGCTGTTTTAAAATTTCCTTCTAAAAAGTTTATATGTTTTAACTATCTACCAAAGAACCAGTTCTTATATTAAAAAAAAATAAATTTGACAAGTTTTCTGATTATTAATTTTGCTTTCCTCTCTATTACTGTTGACCTCGGGTATCATAAGTTGCTTTTTATGTAGCTTTTCAAATTAAATAATTTATTTACTTTCACATTTTATTTTCTTAAGTTATTTATTTTGAAAGAGAAAGCGAGCACAAGCAGGGGAGAGGCAGAGACAGAGAGAGAGAGAGAGAGAAAGAGAGGGAGAGTGAATCCTGAGCAAGCCCCATGCTGTCAGCACAGAGCCTGATGCAGGGCTCAAACTCATGAACCATGAGATCATGATCTGAGTTGAAATCCAAAGTCAGATGCTTAACCGACTGAGCCACCCAGATGCCCCTCAGATTTTCTTTTCTAATAATATTACTATCTAGGGCAGAGGTCCAGACAGGGACCATTTGCAGAGAAATCTGGAAATATGTAGAGCCATTTCTGGCTGTCACAACTGGTCTGTGTGTGTGTGTGTGTGTGTGTGTGTGTGTGTGTGTAGTTGGTGCTACCAGCATCTAGCAGGTAGAGGTCAGGGATGATGCTAAATGTCCTACAATGTGTAGAATGCCCCCTCCACACACACACACCCAAAGAGTTATGTACCCCAAAATGTCAGTAGTGTTGAAGTTGAGAACCCCTGCTCCATAACTATGATTTTTCCTTCATTGTATACCACACAAATATTTTTAAAAATATTCTACAGTGTTAGGCGGGGCGGGGGGGGGGGGGGTTGCCTGGATGGCTCAGTTGGTTAAGCGTCCAGCTTTGGCTCAGGTCATGATCTCACAGTTCATGAGTCTGGGCCTCACATCGGGCTCTGTGCTGACACCTCAGAGCCTGGAGCCTGCTCTGGATTCTGTGTCTCCCACCCTCTCTGCCCCTCCCCCACCTGTGCTCACTCTCACTCTCGTTCTCATTCTCTCTCAAAAATAAACATTAATTTTTTTTTTTAATTCTATGGGGCACCTGGGTGGCTCAGTCGGTTGGGTATCCAACTCTTGGTTTTAGCTCAGGTCATGATCCTGGGATGCTGGGATCCTGTCCCACATTGGGCTCCACACTGAGCATAGAGGCTGCTTGAGACTCTCTCTCTCTCTCTCTCTCTCTCTCTCTCTCTCTCTGCCCCTACTCATCCCCCCCAAATAAAAATATATATTCTACAACTGAAGTGTTGTTTGTTGGTTTTTTGTTTTGTTTTGTTTTTTACCTTAAGTTATTTGGAGAGGAGTCTTCATTTAATATATTCTTTTGTTATTATGGTCAGAAAACATGACTCCTAGAATTTTATCTTTTTGGTATTGGGGTTTTCATTATGGCTTAGGGTATGATGAGTTTTTGTAAAATGTTCATGTGTATCTGAAATTGTGTTTATGCTCCAATATACACATTTCTCTATATGTCTATTCAATCAACTGTTTTGACTACTCTAACTGTGAGATTTCAAGAAAAATGAGTTAAAGCAGCTCCCACTGCTATTGTGTTCCCTTCAGTTTCTCTATGGAATTTAAACAGGTTTCTTCACATATACTGATGTGACGCTATTCATTCCCATAAATGTTTCAGAATGCTATACTTTCATGATGGCTTCTTCTTCTTAATAAAAAAACCCCAGTATCTTTGCCTCAATTAATGTTTTTATTTTATATCCAACTTCACCTGTGATCAGTACCTCTATTTTCCCACTGTTTATTACTGTCCTTCATCATTTTAAGTGTGCATCTTGTGAACAGCACGTAAGTAGATTTTGGTTCTGAGTTCTTAATATATTGTGAAATCTATATTTTATTATTATATTAATCATAAAGAAGCCGAGGAAACAGACTTCAAGTGAACTATTTCAAAGAGTAGAAACTTTTACAAAGAATTCAATTTAAAAATGGGCAAAGAACTTGAATAGATACTTTGAAGACTTACAAACGGCCAACAGGTACATGAAAAGGTCCATAACATCACTCATCATCAGGGAAATGCAAATCAAACCCACAATGTGGCACCACCTCATATCTGTTACAATGGCTATCATCAAAAATATACGAGATAAAAGTGTTGGTGAGGCTGTGAAAAAAAAGGGAACCCTTGTGCACTGTTGGTGGGAGTGTAGATTGGAGCAGACACTCTGGAAAACAGTCTGGAGGTTCCTTGGAAAATTAAAAACAGAACTACCATGTGATCTGGCAATCCCACTTCTGGGTATCGATCCAAAAGAAATGAAATCACTACCTGGAAGAGAGATCTGCATCCCCGTTGTTCACTGCAGCATTATTTACCATAGCCAAGGCATGGAAACAACCTAAGTTTCTCTGAACAGATGAACAGACAGAAAGTGTGGAATGTATGTACAATGTTATTTGGCAACAAGCAAGAAGGAGATCTGCCTTTTGCAACAATATGGATGGGCCTTATACCAAGTGACATAAGGCAGACAGAGAAAGACAGACTGTGCTCTCCCTCATGTGGGGTCTAAAAAAGCCAAACTCAAAGAAATAGAGAGTAGAATGGTGGTTTCCAGGGCCAGGGGCTGGGAAATGGGTGAAGGCGGTCAAAGGGAATAAACTTCCAACTACAGCATAAATAAGTTCTGGGTACCTAATGTACAGCACAGGGATTATAATTAACAATACTATATTGTATACTTGAAAGTCGTTAAGAACAGAGATCTTAAATCATCACACACACAAAGGTAATTATGTGAGGGGATGCAGGTATTAACTAACCTTACTGTAATAATAATTTCACAAAATATTTGCATGCATTAAATCATCATGTTGTATACCTTAAAATAATATACGTTAAATGTTAGTACTATCTCAACAAAGCTGGGGAAAAAATTTAACTCTCAAGAAATAAGAGTCAAAGGATTTAAAATCTCTAAACATCCCTCTTTCCACTTCAATGCGTAAATACCCTTCCTTCCCTGAATCTTAAGCAAGAGTCTGACATTATTT